TCAAAGTATTATGCATGCTCTTTACCCATAAACCTTCTTAACTTGCCACGTCATCCAGAATCTCATTTTTACTCTTACACCTATAAACATCCAATATAAATCCCGTAAACCTCTTTTTTATGGATCCCACATGTTTCTTCCTTTAAATTAATAATACACTCTTATATTTTTTTTAATATTTTAAAACTACAACTCTATTTTATTGTTTATTCTTTTTTTTTTACGAAACGATAGACTATTTTATGTTTTATTCAATGTAATTATTTCATATATTTATCATAAATACATATAAAATAATAACATAAGTATATATAATTATATTAAATTATTTATAATTATACAGTGTTGAGTATGTATTAATATAAATTTTTCTTAAAAAAAATTATGAGACCTAGAACTTAAATAATGTTGAATTGGAGTACATTTTTTTTTATATATACCAAACAACCTCGTTTTATTTTTTTCTTTCACAAGCAAAGATTGTTAGCATTTGTTTTTTTCAATTGATAGGTTAATATTATACTTTTATATTTATCATGTTCATTATAATTTTGTTTATTAAAATTTAAAAATAAAAATTACATTTTAAAACTTAAAATTTTATTATATTTAAATAATATGAAATTTCTATATTTAATTATTAATTATTGTTAAATGAGGGGAAAATTCAAGTGGGAAATAAATTATTAATATAAAATGGTCACAAAATAAATGAAAATTGAGGGGACAATTATGTCAAGCTTGGGCCCACTCTCCACTCTCCATTTGCGCGTGTGTTACACCGTACTAGAAAATAAACCATAAACTAAGGAAGTTTACTTTACTCTCCATTCTCTCTTCTCTGTTTTCTTTTGCTTTATTTTTTAATTTGCAGGTTTGGTGAAGATTTGTATAAGCAACACCGGTTCAAAATTCACCTTGAACCTCTTCACTTTAATAGCAAAACCTTGAGGTTTGATTTTACAAAGCTCTTTAGACCTCCCTATTAAAGATGCCCTAACCAAAACCCTAAAAGGTCAAGGTTTATAAATGTATACACAAGTTTAACCAAATACCGTAAACAAAGATGGAAAAAGAAAAATTCAACCAAAAGGGCATCTGAATCTAGGCTGAAAGGTGCCCAGACGACTAGTCTGATTTACAAAAAGAGTGTGAAACGCCATAACTACACACACAAACTAAAATACCTAAATCTGAAAACGAAAAGGCTACCGGAATCTGAATGAGGAATAGTCGTCCTGATTCACCCACACAAGGATGCATAGGCGAAGAGGTGTGTCGTCCGGGCCAAAAGTTCCCATCTGGGGGTGGAGACACCAATGCTAGCTAGAAGTCAGCGGGATGGGTCCCTTCTCGAAAAATGTGTGAGATCCAGTGACTAACCGACTGTAGTATATGATGCGCATGAGCGGGTGTTGTATCTGCAATGAGCCCTGATGGCCGATGTCAAGTGGGTGGCGACAAAGGCAGAGGCAACATCCAGCTCAATCCAAATGGGAGATGAGATAGAGTAGCAGCCTGGAGACCAATTTGAAGAACCTGAATCTCCGCGTCATAACTCGAGGAGGCCCAAAAAGGGGCATGGAAAGCTAGAATGAGAGCTCATGTGTGGTCCCTAATCAGGTCCCCACCTCCAGCGGCTCCGGTGAGTCGGTCAAAGGATCCATCAGTGTTCAGCTTAAACAAATAAGAGTCGGGTCGATGCCAAACAATGGTTCTAGGTCGTGGGTGCTGGACAGGCGGCAGCGGTGGTAGTATGAATTCGGGGGGCGGCGTACAACTTGTCCAGTCTCTAGGTGTGAGTCTACCCAGAGCTATGAGGAGGGAGAGATGTCGATCACCTGCAAAACAATGTGAGTACTCATAAAAGTAACAGCCTTATGCTTCGCACTATTCCTCTCTGTCTAGATGAAATACAGGATCATATAAGGAATGAGGAATCCCACCTGCCTAATGTGTGTGCACAGTGTGAAAAAACTCAAGAGCACAAAGAAACTGTCTGTGGTGGGAAGGGGCATATGAGTATAAGTAACAAAATGCCCCTACACCCTCCTCGCAACATCACTCTCTAAAAAGAGATGGAAAAATGTCTCAGACTGGAAGTCACCGACCTCAGTACAACAATAACACGGCGAGGGAAAAGATACAGAGATGGTTGGTGTAATGCCCCGATTGTTTATGAATATTATTGAGATTTTTTAATATTACATTATCATTCCCAACCGTTTGAGTTATTTTATGGCCCAATCTTTTGTATTAAATTAATTGGCACAATTTTTCTAATCTTGGCCGTTATCAACGGCCTATTTCTTTTATTTTTCCCTCACATGCTAAAGGAGCCGGTCGTCCCCTTTCTCCCAAACAGTTCAAGTCCCGTTGCTTTTTTTATGTTCTCTCAGCACATTCGCTTGCTCCTCTCACCCGTCACTTATATCTCGGCCAAGAAGAGGGCAATTCTTATCATTGGTACCAATCTAATCTCTGTTCCATCTCTTCTCTGTTCACGTTTTTTAAAAAAAATCACGTACCTGCAAAAATCACCGGCGTCTGCCATTTTTTTTGGGTCACCGCGTACTCTTCGAGAAAGCTGCAGCCGTTGTTCACATCTCCACCACGAGAGTCTCCCGCTGTTGTCCAGTGACCGCTTGAGACCCGCTGTTGACGTGTGCGTGTTTCAGCCACCTGAGCATCCCTCGACAGCCTCGTACGTCACTGGAAAGCACAGCCCCGCCGAGCCGGCCGTCCTGTTCATGCCTAGTCTCAGTCTCGACCTGATCGTCTATCGTGAAGAGCAGCAAGCCGTTCGTGAGAAATAGCCGTCCATCAAGTTTCGAGGACTTCCGAGTTTCGGTCGCCTCATTCGTCCGACCCGTTTTTTGATAGCTCGTAGATTCCCGAAGACGGGTAATCTTTCTCGAACCTCTTTATTATTTCATTCGAACTTGTGTTTATCGTTCGAATATTGTCATGCTCGTTGAACCGTTTCTTGTCAGATTATCTATCGGATCGATTATTATTGCGTTATTACTAGTGAATTCATGTGGATTGGAACTCTCATTCATACGTTGGAGTCTCTTTGTTGTTATTGTGAGTTAGATCGTGTTGTTCCAGAGCCCCGTTGTAATTTTCTGGGTTGTCGTCATATTTATTTTATCGTACATTTAACTCGTTTGAGCCAGTTATGTCATTTCATTTTTTCGGCCCGGGAAACTTAGTTTTAAAATTTTCAAAACTATGATATAATTGCATTTTCAAAAATTTAGTTGCCTCTCGAAACTCGGTTGCAGTTAAACCCGTCATGGTCGAGTTCGGTCGACTTTTGGTGCATCCCCTATTCGGTTTGTCAGCCTCTGATCGATTTTTATCAGTTTCTGTTCAAAATTGCTGGTATCAATTTTGTTAAATATGTACATGTTATTCCCCCATAGCATGCCATGGTTTCAATTTTTTTTTCTTGCTAAAACTCCAACCCAATTTTACTAGTCCACCATTTTAATTTATGATCTCGCAGCCCATGAGATTCATTTTCCTAAGCCCAAATTCAGTCCCAACAACCCATTTGGGCGGCCCGCCTTCCAGTCAGCTACAGAAGCCCGCAAACCCGATCATGGCCCAGTGTTCGACCCGCGAATTAAAGCCTGGTAGCAGGCCATAAACCCGCGGTCCATTTGCGTGTTCGGCCCAACTTCGCATTATATCTTGCCCACTATTCGGATAGCATCCTAAATGCGGCCTTTTTCATTATTTTGAGTTCTGCAAGCCCCTTTTTTTATACCGATTTCAATTTTATAATTATTTATAAATGAGAAAATTTTGGCAAAATGATTTTAAGTCCCGAGACTCCAATTTTAGTTCACCGAGCTCTATTTTTAAAAAATGTAAGAGTTCCAAGTCCACGAAAAATCCGATTAAAATCCTTAATCCTTAATTTGATTAAGTGCGGGTTTTATGTTAAATTCAAGTAGTGAGATAGATTATTGATAAATTTATCTCGCTTAAATGTAAGTGTTTGAGGAGTCGAGCCCTCGACCTACGTTCTGCTACTTATCGTGTGTTGCCCTTTCGGAATACTAGGTGGGTTTTATTTATGAAATTACTATGCCATAAATATTGTTTAAGTACTGTTGTAAGGTATGATTAAAGTATGCATATGGACCATGTAGCCTTCGATGTGAGTCGTGTCGGCCTTCGATCGGTTATCCCCGTAGCTATAGAACATACCGATGGGTAGTCTCCTTTATTTATGTATTATGGGAGCCGTAAGACCCGGGGCATGGGCCCTCGGCTGGTGATCCTCGTTTGTAAGACCAAGACGTAGGTCTTGGCCGGCATGATGGATTA